GAAGTGGGAGGGAGTGGACGGGGGCGGGGCTAGGGCAGGGCTCCCCCGTCCTCTTTTTGGATTGCTGAAATATGGTAACCCTACCTTTCACGTGATACAACCAAGGTGCACCACTCCTCTTGCTGTTTAGTTGGATGAACATACTCAGCAAGGCATTGTCCATTGCCCTGGGGGAGTATGTTCATCCAAATACTAGGGGGGGAGGGATAGCTTAGTGGTTTGAGCGCTGCTCTCCTAAACCCAGGGTTGTGAGTTCAATCCTTGAGGGGGCCATTTAGGGAACTCAGCTAAAAATATGTCTGGGGATTAGTCCTGCTTTGAGCAGGAGGTTGGACTCAATGACCTCTTGAGGTCCCTTCCAACCCTGATATTCTATGAATTCTCCTACCTTCAGCCCTCACAAGGGAGGGGTAGGGGGAGTGATTAGTTGACAAAGCAGGTGCTAATATTTTACACTTCTTGGTGCCTTCCATCATCAAGGATCTAAAGTGTTTTACTTTACACACCTTAATGAATTATCTGAACTTCACAACTCCCCTCCCCCATGAAGGGAACCATTACTATCCTGATTGTACAAATGGGGAATGTATATGAGGTGTAAACCAATTAGATGACTTGCCCAAGATCATGTGAAAATTCTGCAGCAGAATGAAGAACAGAACCGCAGTTATTGTAGTTATTTTTACAACATGGAATCGTATGGAGGATATCTTACAAACATGCTTCAATGCTTACTTCAAAGGGCATGTGCACTCGGATACAACTTCCCGCTTTTATAATCATAAAGTTTTTCATAGTGTCATCTCTTAGGAACTTGGGACTAACTGGAATGCAAAAAATAGTGAACACAATTAAAAGCTGCATCTTGTTACAAAGTCGCTGACAGATTTTAACTCACGTACACTCAAAATAGCATGTCCAGTGTTCTAAAGTTCTCTCCTCCTGCTGGCTGCCTGACGTATCTCTGGCAGCATTATGTCAATGGAGCTCTTTCACTGAGTGAAAAAGTGCCAGAGCACTCGCTGAGCATCAGCTTTCTGTATTTATATAGTGTTGATGACTTAAAAGGGAAATGCTGCAAAAAAGGTATTCACAAATGTTTGTTTGAATAGAAACCACGAAATCTCCTCAACAGCATCTGTGACCCCTCTGACTCACTTTTCACAATCATGCAAATGAACTTTTGTTCACAGTAATGTTTGTGGAAAAGGAAAGTGTTGTGAACACTTGTTCCTATGTCTGTTCACAAGAGCATTGACTTCAGTATTCATCTGGACAGCATTTTGAGGGCTTGGGAGTCATCCAGTCAGCTAAAACGATATCATGCAACCTGGATGTCCAACAACACACTGCAAATAGTGTATTAGAAACAGTGAATAGTCAAAGCAACAGCCACAGCAAGCAAGTTCTGAGTGACCCACGGGCTGAAGCATGTTCACAGAAACCATTGTTGAATCATTTCAAACAGCAAACAAATTCATACAAAATCAAAGCCAGTTTGCCGATAATTTATGAACAGAAAATGAGTAAAATTCACTGTTTATATTGTTTGCTGCCCTGAGCATGAAACCCCATTGCTGTCTCTGCAGCAGGAGGGAGAGAAATAGCTACTCAAGTATAGACCCACTTTTCCCCTATCTCCTAGTGTGTGGCACAGGGGCTGAGTCACAGAATCATTTTGAAGAACTTTAGTCCATTATGTCAAGAGTGAAACCCCTCACCTCCCCTTTTAACTGGGCCATTATTTTCCCATTTATTTTTTTATATTGTGGAGATACAACTGAGACCAGGGCTTCATTGTGCTAGGTGCTGCACATACATATAGACCCTGCCCCTAAGAGCTTGCTGTCTAGACAAGTAAGACAAAGGGTAGGAGGGGAAGAGAGGCACAAAGAACTGAAATGATTTACAGCAGGTCAATGGCACAGATGGGAAAAAAAGCCCAGCTCTTCTGGCTCCCAGCTCAGTGTCCTGGACCGGATCATGCTCCCTCATTAAAAATATATATAAAACTTTTCCATTTGTCTGGGGTTTTTTTCTTTTAAAGGCTCTGAGTGTATGGCAGATCCAGCCTCTTAATGACGGACAACTGAAAGTGCCGCCTATAGCTGGCTGACTGGCAAGGACGTTACAAAAAATGTGACCCTTTTATTGAAAGTTTCCCAGCCCCAGGCTAAAAACTGGAACGAACATGGGATCTGGCATATGAGATCATGTCACTGATCCATCTGATCTGATTTCCCTGCTTTGGCAGGGGCCAATGGTTAATGCCTCAGATAAAGGTGAAAAACCTCCGTAATACGTTAGACCAATGCTGAACACAAGGTGAAAAATGTCAGCCTGTGCAATGTAATTAAGCCAACCTAAGCCCCGGTGTAGACACTACTAGGTCAATGGGAGAATTCTTCTGTCCGCCTCTCGGAGAGATTGGTTTAATACAGCAATGGGAGAACCCCTTCCGTCGCTGTCATCTACACTGTGGCGGTGCAGATGTAGTGCTGCATCTGTAGAATTTCTACTACAGACGTACCCATAGTATCTGAAAAGGGATAATATTTGAGATGCTAGCATCACAGTGAGCCTCCAACATGAGCTGTGGTCATCTCAAATGGAACCCTCAATTTTCCTGATTCAATAAGGAATATAGGAGCGAAATTATCTGTGTCCGCCGCCACAGCCTGAGATAATCATCTGCGACAGGCTCCCGTGCCCCACAATCCACAGATTGACTGGCCCCAGCTCAAGGTTCAATTTGAATCTCCAACAGTCAAAGCTGCCTTTGGATGGAGAGCCCATGATTTGTACCTGCAGGCCTATGACATCTTTTCAGGAGCAGCACATTTTGACTCACCAATGGGAGGCGCGGCCTGGATGCAAGTGTCCAGTGCTACGGCTTCCCCTAGGCCTCCCTCATTGATGGCCCTCACGCGGAGGAAGTACATCTCTCTGGCTTGCAGACCTTTAACTGTACAGGTTGTCAAGCCTAGGGGGACAGTGTTACAATGGGTCCACTTGAGGCTGTCAGAGGATCGCTTCTCCACCTTGTAGCCCTTGGCAGACCCCCCTTCCTTTGAATCAGGTTTCATCCAAGCCATAGTGATGCTGGTGTAGTCAGTATTGGTCACCTTAAGGTCCCTCACTCTACCAGGAGGCTCTGGAAAGGGAAAGTTTATTTAGACTTCCTTGTCTTAGGATTCCTGCCCCCACCCCTTACTCAGTGCACTGGATAATCCATCCCCAACATGCTTGCACTGGGTAGCCATTCAGTCAGGCTCCCTGCAGTGTACTGGGAGTCTGTCCCCATCCCTCTGAATTGTACTGGGAATCCTGCTCCCATCCCCTCTGCAACACACTGGGAAACCCACTCCATGTTCCAGGCAGTGCAGGGGAATCTCACCCCCAACCCCTGCAGCACGTTGAGGGGCCAGCCCCACATCCTCCTCCCCAGCATATTGAGAATACCACCCCACTCCCTACAGTGAATTCCTGATTTTTTAACATTATTCAAGTATTTTATTCTCCCACACATACTTTACAGACGCTCCCTGAGTTACGTAAACCCAATGTACGCAAATCCGAGTTTACGGAAAAAATTCCGTAAGCTAGAAATAGGAGGGGTTGGGTTTTTTTGTGTGTAATGGTCGGAGATGCGTTTCCGATCTTACGCAAAATTTGAGTTACGCTTGCGTAAGTCAGGGAGCATCTTGTATACACATTGCTTCCTGGATTCACATACTTCCCCAGATTCACCTTCTTGGCCAGTTACCCCTCTCTCTGCAACCCACACCCAATGGGACAAGTGGACAACCCACTTACTCATGGGATCTCGAGCAAAGACAGCATCTGATGGTGCACTGGCCTCGCCCGCCCCTGCGGCATTGACAGCAGCCACGCGGAATTCATACTGCAGTCCCTCCTTCAGATCTGTCACCATCCACTTCCTGTCTGTGGAAGGAAAAGATAAGGTTCCTCAGTGAGCTCAGGCTCAGATCAGCAGTCCCCTCAGTAGGATATATTGGGACAATAGTTCTATACATTAATTATACCACATGGAATTGCACAGTATACCTGCCTAGTGGAACACATATGGAGTACCCAAATGCTATCCCTTTTTCTCCTGTCCTTCCCCACCATTAGCACAAGTCTCTCCCATTGTATTCCTTCTTCCCTTTCAAATTAAATGCCATTTGAGATACTGAGGAAGTCAGAGAAAGAGTAAATAATGTTTTCCTTGCAATGGCAGCCCTTCTAATACAGAAGATAAGAAGATCTTTGGTGGATCTGAAAAGATCATTGACATCTATAGGTGAACACGATTTTGAAGCCCTCAGAGATATCAGTTCCATCTCCTTACCTTCCTTGTCCCTGGAATGTCCCCCCGTATGCCCAGTTCCCAGCTCCATAAGCTAAGAAAGCACTTCCACAACTGAAGAGCAAGGTGCCAGATTGCTGGCCCTCAGTTTATGCACAGAACGGCACAGCCAGACAGCAACAATGCAAATTTCTCCATTCTGCAGCAGATTTTTATTCACAACCTGGAAAGGAGCCACCTCTGGAGGCAAGAAGAGAGTCCCACCTCAGTGGTTCATTCAATATTTTGGCATTGAGATACCCAACAATGGTGCCAATTGTGATTTTTGTACTAGCAACTAGGAGCTGGACTGAGATCACTGATTTGTGTCACCACACAGAAGTCACCCAACATCCATCAGACAGTAAAAACTTTTGGTCACTACCAATCTAAACCATATTTGAAGCAGTGACCCAGTGAGATGAAAGAGTCAGCATCTCATTATGCCTTGAGTCATCTAGTCTTCTTGCTTTCTTAGAGTCTTTCAGCCTGTTCCAGGCTTTCAGCTGCTTACCTGTTATTGGCAGGTCAGTGATAGGTGTCCAGATGTTGCTGCCTTTCTTGCGTTTCTCAAGGATATACCCCAGGATTCTGGAATTGCCCGTTTTGGGAGGTGCTGCCCAGGAGAGTGTTATGGACTCTTTGTTGGCACTGACAAACTGAGGAGGAGCAGGGGGGCCAAGGAAAGCTAGGAACAGATTAGCCCTTCGTTATTAACAGGTATTTCTTTCCCATCACATGACAAGAATGGGTTCTCAAGGGTTGTTTCTTCCAGGATTCCCAAATGTGTGTTCAGATAAGACACCTTTTGAACATAGATGTGAGATCTATGACTCAGTCTTTTACTCTCCAGAACAGCTACATGCTGGGAGCCTAGAGGGGGAGCATGTCCAAACTCCTAAGGGTCAAGATATTATGTGTCTTCCATGAATGAGCCCCTCTTGCCAATGCTGAGGATGACATTGACAGTCTCCAAAGGGAGGCATATGCCCAATCTTCTTGCTGGGAGGGAAAGCCACTGTTCCTTCTATTGTTCCTGAGGGTGGAAACAGGAGTCTTGATTGGCTTCTACTTCCCTCTGCTCCATCCATTATTGGAGGGTGTAACAAGGTGTGTGCTGAGTCAGGAGCTGAGTCAACACCCTGTCACTCCAATCCCCATCAGTACATTAACTGGGACCTGATTGAAAGTCAGGCCATTCACAGAGGGTGCCAATTTATTGAGTAGAGACACAACTGAAGGGCTAATTGCGTGGAAGTAACCCCAGCAGCTGGGCCTATATAAGCAGACAGGAAGGAAGTGGTAAGGAGAAGAGTAGAGAGCCTGAAAAGCAGGACTGGGTGTCTGTTCCCAAGAAGCAAGTGGGGGAAGCGGACTATTGACTGTACACTGTATAAATAACATTCCAGGCTGTGGCTTGCTGAAGGGCTATAATAAAGCACAGTGGTGCTTGAGAATGCTGGGAGATATGGGGATCAGCTACTACGGCTAGAAAAGAGTCTCAGGGGACAAAACAATCAGCCATTAATACAAAAAATTGTTTTAAAAGTATCTTGGCACAAAATGCGATTAAAAGGGTGAATAAAAAGGAAGGACAGAGAGAGGGGAGCAAGGGTGGATGTTAGTGAGGAAGGAAGGAAGGAAGGATGTGGGGGAAGGGATAGCTCAGTGGTTTGAGCATTGGCCTGCTAAACCCAGGGTTGTGAGTTTAATCCTTGAGGGGGGCATTTAGAGATTTGGGGCAAAAATCTGTCTGGGGATTGGTCCTGCTTTGAGCAAGGGGTTGGACTAGATGACCTCCTGAGGTCCCTTCCAACCCTGATATTCTAAGGCAAAATGAATTAAATGTTTTCCCTGCTTGTACTTTCATGTTTGTGCCAAAAGCTGTCTCTAGTACTTGGGTCCACCAGCGGGGTTATAGAATAGAATGGCTGCTCTGTACTTAAGGAAATGAAACGATACTACTGAATAGACACAACCAATTAATGTCCCCTTGGCCCTTGGGAGACTCATTTACCTATGGAGTAAATTAGGTAAAAGTGTAGCAGGTTCTCTTTGCAGTGACATGTGAGAACCTTTTCTTTGGCTTCAGTCCATTCATGGTTTCCACTGTGGATGTTGCTTCGAGGTTTAGGTTGGATTGTACCCAAAAAACTCAAAGCAGATTTCACTTGGAATCACCAAAACTCGCAAGAAACTTGTGGTCTCGACCTGAAACCTTAAATTGGCCCCCGATTCATATGACACCATGTTCACATTCACTTGACAATTGAGTCAGGCTTGCAAACCTTCTGTTCAAACTGGACGAAAGTATACATTTGTAACAAAACCCAAAATGAGAGTTTCACTTGATTTTGGCTTTCATAATAGAAGTCTCACATGGCTATAAGATGTGTTTACACAAAGCTCTTCCTCTTACCTTTGGTTGCAGCCATCACTTCATCTGATTCCAGCGCCTTGCTCTTTCCCTCAGCGTTCACTGCTCGCACCCTGAAGCGATAGCTTTTGTCTTGCCCCGCTTTGTTGGTCGTGAAAGTGCTGTTGTTCCTGCTGGTTTCTCCCAATGTTACCCAGGTTTTTCTGCCCACCTGCTGCCTCTCTATGATGTAGTTCTGCACTGGTGTGCCCCCATCATCCTTTGGGGGCTTCCATTGAATGGTTATGCCAGTTGTGGAACTATCCACCACCTCTATGGGTTCGATGGGTTTCTGTGGCTTATCTGAAAGGAGGAGAAAAACAGGGAGCAAAAGGTCCCACATCTGTTCTTGATATCAGAGGGGTCACTATCTCTTGCTACTCAAGATAGGCAACTCAGTCTCCATTGGTATAGTATTTACAGGGTAGAGCAGCAGAATTAACGCTAGCAAGATTGCTTGAGTAAACATCCATTCATCTACTGATCTAGGAGAGTAGGGCAAGAGGAAAACACTTGGCTCATCCAATATGCCCTTCCTATAGTTCCGGAATGGTCAAACTTACTGACCCTCCAAGCTATACAATAATCTTCAGAAATTCTAGAGCCACAAGACACACACAACCTGCCCCGCGGAGTGGCGCCTGCTGGGGCACAGGGCTTTGGCCTCAGTGCAGCCCCGTGGGACTAAAGTCCCGAGACCCCCCTTCCCTCAGGGCAGAAGCCCCTAGTCCCACCACCCTGAGCTCTCGCCCCATCCAGTCTGGTAGGCTGAGAAAGGAGGAGGAATGGGGGGCACCACGAGGCACACTTTAACTTTTAAAGAGCCATGTGGCTCACGAGCCGTGGTTTGGCCACGGCTGCTATAGCTGATCATTCCCACGAATGCTGCATCAAAGCCAGACCTGGATGCAACTCTCATTGACTTCCCATCTCCTTTAGGAGTACTGATGGTTCCATACTGGAACCATTTATCAACCTCACCCCAAACGTGGGGTGTTCAGGCAAGATGAGACCTGGACCCGATTTACTTCCACTTTTGGTTTGCAAAAAAACAAAACCCAATGGAGACTCTTCCAAACCAAAGCCAAACACACCCTTGTTGAGTTCCATTTCTGAATCAAATACAAATGGATGAAACCCAGAATCAGGTAATTAACAGTCCTCTCCTCCACCCTAAATGTAGGTGATATGGATTAAATGGGAAACTAACCCGATCCTGAATTTTGGGTTTCTCCATCTTTGTTTGGGAATCTATTCCACTTTCTGGGCACATCCACCTTACACAGATATGCCATATGGCACCATATTGCAGCTGGGAAGTTAACTTGGGCCTATTATTACTGTGAATAGAATGGCAAGATTCCCCTGACAACTTTAACATTAAATTGCCTTTGTGATCAATAGAGCAGGTTGTACAAGTCAGATATTGAGCTCTATCAGCTCAGAAGGAAATGGCTTTTGCAGAATAATTTACTCTATAATGAGCCAAGTGATCAGTACAAACCAGGATCACAAAACCAGAGGAGAAGGACAGGGGAAGGAATATGAGAGAAACTGATTAATCATCTTACTGATTTATTACCCTAGTATAATTATTTGGACTTTTATAGGTGCATTTGAGCTAGTTTGCATCTTTAGTTAGTATTTTTCTTCTTGGAGAAATGTTTGTTCTTCATTTGATTTTTATATTTAAATTCCTGCAGCTCTCAAGGGGCTGTGTTTCAGTGCAAAAAGATGGATGCAGAAGTAAACTGTTGAATTCGGAAAATGAGGGAGATTATCTTTATTTGGCTACTTCACCTGGAAGTCTTTAATCTTCAGTTAATTACTAGGAATGACAAAGCTAAGTCAAGTGATGTAGCATCGTCCTTCCCCAGCAGACCACACTTCTGGTCTCATCAAACTGTTGCTCAGTTGGGAACAAATCATGTCCCTTTTTCACAGCTGCAGAGAACTCCAGTTGAAGCTAAACCAGTGCAGATCTGCTGTGCATGGTTTTCAGGTTTCAGACCCCACATAGGTAAATCAGGAGACAGGCCAGGGGTGAGCCAATAAAGGAGCAAGGATAGGACTGGTAGATTTACAACCATGTGGATCCTTTTGTCATTTGAGCCTGGAAGTCACTGAGCAACTCCTGAAGGTGCTAAGTGGCTCACATCTCATTAAAGTCCATGGGAGTTGCAGGCATTCAGCACTTTGGGAGTAGCTCAGCACCTTGTCTCCTTTTAGTTTATTGTGGATGAGATGGGAAAGAGTGAGCCCAGCCAGCTCTCAAATATTCTTACGAGCAGTGTTCTGTAAAAGCACCAATGAAGAGCTGCTTCTGTGTGTGCCTACACTAGGTCTCTCTGGAGAGTCAGGAAGAGAGATACCAAAAACAACTTACAAGGATTTCCCTCTGTGCCCAAAGTGATGGACTCATATCATGAGGCTCTCACCTATCACCTCCAGCTTTAGGCTGGCCTCCAGGGTTCCACTGTCACTCTTCAACTTCACTTTGTAATCCCCACAGTCCTTCCTGTTGGTGCTGGAGATGGAAAGCCGGGTGAAGTTGTCCGCCTTGTCGATATGGATCCTGGCATCATTCAGGAGCTCATTCCCGTCCCTTAACCATGTTGCTCTGACTGGCTTCCGGCCCTCGAATGGGATTTTGACCATGGCATTCTGCCTTGCCTTGACTATCACAGGCTCCTTCATCAGCTTTTCCAGAAGAGCCTTGTCAACATTTGGAGGATCTAAACATAAAAACTAAGCCATTCATAAATAGAATTGAAAGAGAAAAAGCTTACTTTGAGGGCAGGGCTGCTCTGAATTAACTGCTGCTGAATATTTTCAACGTTATTAACCTGGTACTATTGGACCCAATCCCAACAAAAATCACTGGATCTTCACACGTGGCAGGTGGGGCTCAGGATCTCACAGGGTCTCGATCTTCGATTTTAGTTGCATAGTTACCGTATGCTGTGTATGCATACATGCACTGCAGGGTAATTCACCCTGTACAGAACGACAACACCAGGCCCTACTTATGCCCTCAAAATATAACATAAGTGAGGCCTAGACTTTGTTCTTGCCCATGCACTGGGGTGAATTGCATCCAACATGCATAAATTCATTTGGAATTCAGTAAGCATGCATATGAACTAAGGCAGTTTTTATTAAATCAGCGGGTCAAACCTTTGAGATAATGATACGGCACACTTAGAGATGCGTATATTATAGAGATGTATTTGCTTGTTTAAGAATGAAATTATCTTCAATTCTTATGAGGTCTTTTGGGTATAAAATTATTCACTTTGTAATGGCTAAATCTACCGCTAGCGAGTGCCTGTCATCTTTTTTTTTTCTTCATTTCCCCGCTTTTCTTTATAGTTTCCGCCTTTTTTTCACCCACCTCCTCTTTCCTTTACAAACGAAAACCTGGGATATTAAATGCAATAAACTTTGTTCATGCAAGATTAAGGCTCCTCTATAGATTTGCAATTAGCTAGGAAATGCACAATCTCCTTGTAACCACACAAACCAGCTCCTGCTCCCAATTCCCTACTTTGGGTGTACTGAGCATGCTCACCCGAACTGAGCATGCCCAGGAGGGTTGCTATACATGTCACACCTGTAGCCCTGGACATGACTTGCAGACCCCCTGGCAGGGCCATCCTTTGGCATACGCAGAATATGCGGCTGCGTAGGCCACCTGAAAATCTGGGGCACTCTGGGTCTTAGTGTCCACCCTCCTGGCTCCCACAGCTGGTTGCTGCAGCCTGGTGACTCTTACTCCGGAGGGGATCTAGTAACTTAAAAGTAAAAAAGTCTTCCAGCCTGCCAGGCCAATTAGCACATCATTGAAACCGTTAAAGAGCCATTCAAGTGGTAATGAAGCCATTTAACAAGCATTTGCCAAACCCCAGGTATATATTGTCACTTTCTGAATTTACTGACAAAAACAGTTGTTCATTACTGTAATATTTACTCAGAACATGTTAGTCTACAGGTCCTTAGTTTAAAATTTACTTTAAAAATATTTCATTGGTGAAGATTATAAAATCACATCTCTAAAAAATCCTTGCATAGATTTTTAGATGCACAATCATCTTTAGCCTTAAATGCTTAGATCTTCAGATATACCGTTTTTTAAATAAATCCTTCAAAAGACCTCCCTTATCTAAAATACACATTTTAATTTTAATTACTATAGTAAAAAAAAAACTTGCTTCCAAAGTCTTCCTGTCCATCCCTTTCTCTCTTCATACACCCCTCCCCGCCGCTGAAGAGAGCCCTTAAAGGGACAACACCTCTTTCCTTCCAGATAGCTGGAGTTTCCCTTTCTTTACTTCTGACTATCTGATGAACTAGTTTTACAAGAACCCGCCAGCAAAATCAGTACCTTAGTAACATATAAAATCCTTTGTTATGCCTAAAATCTTTGGAAACATATTTTATAAAGTTGCTGAAATTTCATATACATGTCTATTGTTATGGCGATCACACAAAATAAATTAGTGTTCCCTTTTTCTAAAAGCAATGACACACTAAACCTCTGTGACTGATAATTTAAAATAATGTCTTTGTTTCAGTGAGTTAAATATGTAGTAATCTGGAATGATTACTTTATGAAGGCTTAAGAGTACATTTAAAATATAAAATTGTCTTAGAAATACTGATTAAGAAAATGTAAAACAGAGAACAGCTGCATCCAGGGCCGGCTTTAGGCCGATTCAGCCGATTCGGCTGAATTGGGCCCCGCGCCAAGAGGGCCCCGCGCTGCAGCTCTCCACCCGCCCCCAGCTCACTTCCCCCTCCTCCCCTCCCCTGAACGCTCCGCCCCCTCCCCTCGCTTCCCGCGAA